TCCCTATTCATCGTCATTGATCCAGACACTGCATGACTGGATGACACATCCTCCTCTGTGTTCTTTGTCTGTCTTCAATCATGGCAATTTTATTCATTGTAAACTCCAGGAATCACTTTTCCACCCAGTCTACCGGAAACAGTTTTATATGGCAGCCGAAGAAATTCAGCAGAACGCACTTCGTGGAAGTGTGGTCTGAGGTTGAGTCTTTCCTCACCTCCAGCTGTCTGTATTAAATAACTACAACTCTGGTCAGAAACCGTGTGTCGCTAACGTCAGGTTAGTACATCAGAAGATCACGAAACACGTCTCTCCCGGGCCACTGTTTATTTAAGAGACACCGAGCAATGTGAGAACTGCAGAAAATGATGCCACCAGAGAACATTATACAAGATCAGAAAAATAGTGAAAATAGTGACAAAAAGTTAGATAAGACACACAGAAATACGCATATAATGAGAATTCACAGAATAAAATATAAAGCAGTTCGAATGCAATGCGGATTAGAGATTACTGCTGCTCAATCTGATAGCTTCTATTAGAATTTAATACGTAGACACGGGCACATACACACACAAACACACTCACCCCCGACTTAACACCCTGTTGCAGCACCAAATGTTAAAATGTTTCTGAATGCCATCCAGTTCAGTATAAATGTAGAATTCGAAAACCAAGTCAGTATGCATTAATAAATCCAAAACATTCATAACTGATATTTGAATGTTTTTAGATTGAAGAGATTGTCTGTACTGCACAGATGACTCACTGTCAGAACATTATAGTGAGCCTCCATCATTTGCTTGTCACCACGGCCACTTTCTCATTGTGTGGTGAGACCCACATCCTGACTGCAGAGCTGCAGATGATTTATCTTCACGTCAATGATATGTTTACAACAGAATATATCTTGAATGTATGTGACAGCGATAAAGTTCTGTCAGGGAATCTTATGAAATCACATAAAAGCCACAACCAGCTGATTGTAGCGCTGTGCTGTTTGTAGCTGGGCCTGTTTCCCAGAATATGGAGACGGTGGACCCTCTGTAAAGGAATGATGTTATTCAATTTCAACAAAAACACAAAATAACAGCATAGTACTACTTTCACAGCATGTCATAGATGTAAATGTGTTTGTGACTCCTCTCACTCGGTGCCTGTGTTAGTTCACAAGATATCGTAAAAACCACATGGATTATCACAAAACTCTTCAGAACGATGTGTTATGTGTCAGGAAAGAACCAATTAAGTTTTGGTGCAGATCCATTTTTTCTTTAACATTGCGTTTGTCTGGTCTAGTCTCACTCCCGGTTCCGTAGTAAATCCAAACCTAAGTATGTTAACAATGAAGGATAATAAATAAATTGTTATTTCATATAGTATTAAAGCAAACACTGTTCACAGTCCTAAAACTGGGGTGATAATATATTGTCCACAGTCTTACAAATACACTCTAAATCAACACTGACAAGTGTTTTTCTCTCTGATGCCGCACAGTTGACTCATTTAGAGATTTAATCTAATGAATTTATTCCTGTGAGCTCCCCCCCCCCCCTCAACTGCTGACCTCTGTGCACTGAAACTAAGTAATGTTCACATGGAGGCCTTTTGTGTGATCTTTTGTTGTCTGCTGGCCTGACTCCTTCTCCTCGCCTCATGGCTGAGCTGCTAACCACTTTTTACAGGAAGCTGAGCCCCAGAGAGCATGATGGGTGTATCACCTCCTCATTTCTGCTGAGTGACTTTTGTACAGACTCACATGATGAGTTTACAGTGGAAATGTAAGACATCTGATATTAAGCACAGGCAGAGAGTAATGAGAACCACTGCAGAGATACAGAGTAAGATGAGAACATTCTCACATTAAACATCAAGGCAAGGCAATTTTATTTATAGAACACATCTCATTACAAACTTACAAATTCAATGAGCCTTATGAAAACATTTAGCACACACACAGGAATAGTAATAAGGACAGTAACAATGCAGCATAGAGTATGCACACACACACACCCACACACAACCACCCACACGCACTCACACACAGGCTCACACTCACACTCACTCAATAGCTCATAGGCTTGAGAAAGCAGCCCCAGATCTTATTCAAGTACAACCAAGAAAAAACGGTCCTAATGCCTGAGTGGTCTGAAGTGTAAACTATATTTTTGATGGTGTGATAATGAGCTCATCCGTTATGGAGACATATTTAGTGTCATTTCATAAATGACGTGTTTGTGGTCAGTTCCAAGAACATCAAAGCTGTAAATGTAAATCAGAAGTACCACTTATGTTGGCAGGGCTTGGTTTCTTTTTTGCAGCTGGCCAATGAACTTTCATGTAAGATCGTGTGAAGCTACATGAATTCATGTTGTCAGTAATCTACATATTTTACTACCTCAAACAGGGGCAATTTATGTATTTATTAAGACTTGTGTTTGAATTATTGACATGTTACTTTCAATTATTCATTCATTCTGTTTATTTTGGTCCGCATATTATTTGTTAGAAAACAATAGAGCAATGCAACAAAACAAATACAATACAAATACATTAAGCAAAACAAATAAAACAAATGTTCCAGGTTTTTGTGCAAGTAGTTTTGCAGCCAGAAGTAAGCACACACAATGAATAGATCAACAATACAAATATATCAGTGCAACATGATGACATCAGGGATACATTACTTTTTAAATCTGTAACCTCTGCATCTTGACAGACGCAAAGAAAACTGTAAACTAAATAGACACATTGGATGGCTTGAACCACCTTGGATTGTTCTGGTTTTTAAAAAAATCTTCACATTGCAGGTGATGAAGGTTATTTTCGAGCGTAAGTGACCCGTACCAGCAGATAAAAGTGAGAACAGAAAAACAAGAATAAAGCATTTCCATTTTGACATAAATCTTACAATCGCTTACAATAAAAACACATGCAAACGCTGATGAACTTTTTTCACATGAGACTCAAAACTGATCTTGTTATCAGCGACGTGCAGAGATATTACTTACTATATTGCAGAGTTAGCTACATGTTTTTAGTTCCTCATATTTATTTCCAAATATTTACCCACTTTTACAGATGCACATCTATTTTCTTATATTGTTACATTGCTACAAGGTAAACATTTGCATGGACATTCCTGAGTAGAAAACAAGTAATGTAAATAAGGTTCTACTACTACTATTTGGTTCACCTTAATTAAGTTTTTAAAGGAAAAATAAAACCCTGCTTGTTATACCAAAGTAATTGTGTACGTCTAACAATAAATGTATGTTGGGATTTATTCAATAATGGATGATTTGGAACTAACTAAAAAGACCAATCCAAATTGTTACCTTAATCATTAGATTGTTCCAAAAGAATTTGGAATACCATGAGTAAATTATGATATGCTTTGTACATTATTAAGCAGAATTAGACTCAAATAAATCCTAACACTTTAAGATAAAAAACTTAAAAGAGTGTTAGTTGGACCAGATAACCAGGTGGACTGACTCATGGCTGACTCCTGTAACACCACAATGTAAGTTTTTGTCCATACTTGCACACAATAGATAATGTTTGGAGGTATATGTACTGCATTCTGATTCTAGGTACATTCAGTTTTGTGTAATATTGCAATGGTTTTAGACAGTTTTGTAACTTTGACTATAAATTGTAAATTCCTAACTTGTTGATATAGCTTGCTGCTCTCTCTACACATTTTTAGAATCAGAATATTACTCGTCCGTGTCTTACTGGTTGTGAGGTGTGGTGGCCGAGACGGGCAACCGTTAAACTGTGGTGGAAAAGGAGCCTGGCCTGTTGACTGTCATGGTTGGTGGAGGCCTTTAGAAGCGTGCCGCATCATTCTAACCACTCTCGAGCTTAGCCCAGCTGTAAAAATAGATAGGAAAGATTGCCCCAGATACACACACACATATACACACACACACATATACCCAAATGTAAGACGTGAGATTAACACATGTTCAGGTGCTGACGTGTGGCCTCTGTGGGGACAACCTCACATACACAGGGGAAGAGAAATGAGACAAAGGGATATGAAACCACACATGTACATGTAACTGACACTGAGTGGAAATCTAAATACAGTAAACTGGCTTTTGTTCAGAGGTGCCTTTGTTTACAATCTCACCCTTATTGACCTCCCTCAGGAGGATAAACTGCAGTGGGAGTTTACCTCCACTAGATGGCATGAGATACATATAAAAACAGAATGATTCTCTTGAAGACTTCTAAATACAGTATATGATGCAGAGATCGACTGATGTTAAACCAAAATCTAAAGATAGAGATTAGTGTTTTTCTCTTAACTAACTTCTGCACATTAATATCCTCTTTATAGAAACACTGATAACATATGAATGAAAACTGCTGTGATTTAAAAAAAAGTGTGTGAATTATTTATTTTTAATCTGTAACTAAGTCATTTATTTATCAAATGTATATATTCTAGTACTTTATTATTATAAAACATACAAATGAAAATGCAAAAAGCAATTGTACAAAATCAACTATGATGTACAAACATATGTACATTGAATCAAATATTATTTCTACAGTATATAGCATAAAATAGAAGTAATTATTTATATTTCTGTCTATGAAACAAGATTATGTGAGAAACCAAACAAGAAGGAGTGCAGTTACTGAGTACTGCAGTACTGGGGTGTTGGCCCAGTGTGAATGCAAAGTCTTCCTGCCTTCACATTCCTGTAAGCCAATACTCCAATACCACACTGTTGTCATGGTACAAAAGCATACTGTCACAAACACTTCCTGTTTGGGTTAGTTTGAAAAAAGAAAATCATCCATTTATCATATGTACAATATTTCTGGGTCTGGATTGTGGTAGTTTATCCCTAAATACTAAAAACATTTACAGTCTTACAGTTTTAATAGCTGCAAAGAAAAAGTCAAACAAAACAGTGATTTGATATACCTGTTCTCTAATGGGCCTGGCGCCCCTCCTCCATTCCTCTGTCTCTCCTCAGGTGAGGTGCTTGGGGAGTATAGGCTGTGACACTGGAGCCTTTACCTGGGAGGAGGAGGAGCGAGGCAGAGCCGTGGTGGACAAAGAGAGAAGGGTGATGGATGAAACTGACGTGTATGTGTGAACAGTGGTTATGAAAACAAGCATGTTAATGTATAGTTGGGTCTCTGGAGCTCTTTGGTTTATTGGTCAGATCTGTCACACGGATATGTAGAAGTGGAAAACACTGCAGGTAAATGTATTCCTCTCTGAATTGAACTGGTTATTTATATTTTGCTACACACTTGTTTAATGTCTTGTTAATAATTTGGTGACAGACATGGTTGAGGTTTTGACTAAACAACAGGCAAAAATAGTCACTGCAGTTCCTTGTGTTTGAATTGTCGCAGGTTTGATGCCGAAACTTGAATCTTAGCAGCCTCAGTTCCCTCTCACTGGGATCCCTCCTCCAGCCCACAGCAGAGATTCATCCAGAGAAGTTGGTACAATATTTCTCTGTATTTCATCATAATACAAAAACAAGGCCTGAGCTGACTTAGAGTTTAATATAAATAACCTTTGTAACACCCGACAAGTGTAATTAAGTGGTGAGTGGAGGATGGCTGAGGCAGGGGGTCTGTTTAGATTAGCAGTGTTTTGTAACCTCCTGTCTGTGTTGAATGATGCATGTGAGCTTGGTAACACAGTGTAATGAGTAACAAAAGTGATAGGGGCATGTTAGCATGGGACAGAAGCAGTTGTTTTACTGTGTCGTCCTCCTCTTGTAGTGTAACAGGAGCCTGCAAACGTCTGCACGTCGTCATGGCCAAGGAGAGTTCTGAATCTGGTACGTTACTCTTTATCTGCATCTTTTTTTCTTCAGCTGCTGTTTCACCACTGTCTCTCTATCTCACTGAATTTACCGAGATGTAAGTGGAAGAGAAAGAAGTTCAATGTTTTTATATGAAATGAAACCTATTTTATCATTCATATCCATAAAAACACAACATTTGAGTTTCGCACCTTGTGGCCTTCACATCCACATTGAAAGTTTCTCCTGTAGCGTGAAGGAGAAGCGGTCAGAATCAGGTTTAGCTTCTCAATGCTCTGAATGGAGGGTATAAGAATCCCTTTGAGATGGATAACAGCAGTGATCGCTTGCACATCAACAACACACTCACATATACACATGAACATCCACCTGTTGTCTGCTGAGGAAAATTATGCATTAAATCACTATGTGCAATCGGAGATGGACTGATATTCTGACTGCCGTGTGACTCACAGGCCTCTCATGGGAGGTTAGGGCAAACAGCCGTCACTACCACAAACACAACCAGAAGAAATCCTTGTTGTGCTTCCGCTGGGGGCGTTACGCGGTGAGTCAGAGCTACACAAGCTTTCCTCTCCTTCACATGGTACCCTAACATCTGTTGGCAGGAAGATGCATCGAGATGCAGGTTAATGTGTTGACGCGTATGTGTTTCCCTTGTGCTTCTCTCTCTCTCTCTCTCTGTTGCTCTTCTCGATGGTCGTCAGGACAATGTGCTGCGCAGCTACAAGTACTCCCCCCTGACCTTTCTGCCCCTGACGCTGTTTGAACAGTTCCAGCGAGTGGCCAATCTCTATTTCCTTCTCATGGTGGTGTTGCAGGTCAGATAAGGGCTCAGCAGTTCTCTCTCACTCTCTCTGTTCATGTTGAAAAATCTGACCTGTGGTCTAATGAGCAAAGCTGCAACATTTACTGTCTGATGTTGACTATTTTCAACCTAGAAGGGCACATGTATTGCACCAGACACATGTAGCATGTTCAGAGAAATGTTCCTCAAACTATTTACATTGAACATCAGCAATATATCCATCCTCTGATATAGTTGAAAGGAATATTTGTTACCGTACAGTAACCTAAAAATACATATGTAGATTCACAAAATCTGGATCAGTACCCAGATCAATAAAAATTTTCACCTGTGCATAGATATAAGCACTGTCCAGATGTCGGATTTTTTTTCAGAAAGTACTCTGCATTATCTCTCGAAAAATTCCCCAAACTTTGGAAAAATCTAAAATCACACAAAAAAACATGAAAAGCAAAACAAAGTAGAACCATGTCTGGACCAGTCAGAGAGAACTGGATTTTCTCTGATTGTACAGATTGACAATCTGATGTCACTGAGTACACATACTAATTTCTTTCCTCTTAAATTATGATGTGATACTAGCTAGTATATAATAATGATTCAAAAAAAACAACAACGAAATAAAAGACCATTAAAACAAATCAGCATAAAAAGACAACAAGAATAAACTTATTAAAAACATCCACAGTGTAACAACAGCCTTACAAGAAAAAAGGAAGAATCTTAAAATTATCAAATATGGTGGGGGGGGTCTATTATATTTACATAATATAATAAGATAAAAAATGTAGTAAATAAAATTGATGCGTTTTGCTGTGCACCACATACCAGCAACTCTGCTTATCCACAGCTCACACCAACTCTCTGTGTCGCAGCCTCAGGGCTTCATCTTGAAGGAAAAACATTCTTAACCAAAGACATGTCTTCCACAGGATGGATTTACCACCCTGCTACAAGTACTTAAACCTGACAACTGTTAAGAGATCACATTAGTCCTTTCTGGCATACATGACATTTGTTTAAAAAATAAAATCTTTATTTTTGTTAATTTGAAATATAATGTTTTATACCGTTTTTAGGGAGGGGACATTTCTGTGAGGTACTTTAAAAAAAAGTGTTATTGCTAATCAGCGACATATTCCAGCCTATGTTAATCCTCCAAAGGAAATCTCATTATCTTGTAGAAAATGGAAAAATTATTCATGTTTTTAAGCAAAAAACTGTGGAATTAGGTCTAAAAACTGGAATCAGAGGGAGTGTTTTTTTAACACCACAAATAACTAAAACTGTGATGAAATGTTGCTTAACAGTGACGTATCCGTGGCAGTGTCAACCCTCCCATCATCTCATTATCATGGAGAATATGGAACAAAATAAATGTTTTATGTTTTTTAATACTGAAAATGGTGGAATTACATTTCAGGGTTAAACTACTGGAGATAAATGAACATTTGGTATATATGAACACAGCTGATGTGTGTGTGTGTGTGTGTGTGTGTGTGTGTGTGTGTGTGTGTGGTTTATACAATGCGTGTGGTTACGTTTCCTTCCTCCTCCTCTGTGTGTGTTTTCACATTGTTTGCAGTGTGTCCCTGCCATTGCATCTGTGCCCTGGTACATCACCATCATGCCACTGCTCCTCGTGCTGACCGTGCGAGGCCTCAAAGACCTCGCGAATGACATGGTGAGCATGCCACTCACTCCCTCGTCCCCCCTCTGTCAATCTGGGGTAGTGTGTTTGTCAGGGTGGGGGGTCTGGGAGATGGACTATGCCTCCACGATGAATGCACATGCTCACACACACAAATGCATGATATCAAACACATATACGACCGGTCGCACGCATGTATTTATGCACCTGGCTCTTACGTGCACTCTTTTCTCTCCTTCATTGTCCTCATTGACTCCTTGTCCTCTCCACATTGACAAAACCAGTCATCCCCGCAGCATTAATTTTCCCTGCTATCATTAAAGCTTTTCCTTTTAAATGCAGGCGTGATGTTTTGCATGGAGAATTCTCTGGTTAAGTGCATCACTGAGTTACGGTCGTTAACAGCTCTGGGTGAAACGCTTGCTTGACCCCTCTCTATTGACTAATCATTTAGGTGAGGGTGTAAATCTCCCTGCTGGTGTCACTGTAGAGCCCCGTAATAGCGTTTCTCCTCTCTACTCTCTCTTGTCCAACCTTTCACGGCCACCCTCTCTCCCTCATGCTCCCTGTCTATCACTCTTTTTCCTCCTCCATCCACGACACACTTCTCAATCCATCTCATTCTCTCTCTTTCCGCCTGTCTTTCTCCCTCTCTTCTCCCTCCATCTCTGGTCCAGGCAAGGAGACGCAGTGACTCTAAGATTAACTCCCAACCCTGTGACATACTCATCTCCCAGAGGTGAGGACAAAGACAGTGTTATTTTCTCAGGACTCGGTGCAGTTCCCATTTGAAACAGCCCTCTAATGAAGCTCTAATGAAGTGTGAATGAGTGAATCCCTAGATGGTCCCTTTGTGCAATAAAGCAGGACAAGAACACAGTGTTTAGTATTGTCTACACCTTCTGGGAAAAACTATGACTGTGGTTTTTTGATAAGATATTTTCATATCTTAACGGATGTTTCCCGCATTATGTTTCTAACTGTGCTTGATTTGTGATGATTTCCTGAGCTGACATGTAAAGATATGAATTTCTACACTGACCTACTCTGTGCTGTAACTACTGGGGAAGTTCATCGTTTGATAATATTAGACAAAGAGAGTTTGCTTGTATTGAAAAGAAGCTCATGTGTTTCTGAACTTTTCATCCAAAGCAAATCAGTCCTTTAAATGTGCCAGTTTTTTCATCCAGATCCATGAATTATTCCCTGTCAGTGACGTCACAATGTTAAAGAAAGTGATAAAAGAACATTGTGATAAAAAATTCCTGGATTCGATCCTTTGTCCAGATCCAGGCCAGAAATGTTACGGGTTAACACACATTACTGATAAGAATCAAACCTTCCACATCACATCATTTCATTTATAACTTTCTTGTGATTTACATAAACATTGTGTAGTGTTTTATAGGGAAAGTAGAGTCCACCATTTTTAATTCTGGAGGTGGAGATATTATTTTGTCTCTTTGTTTCTAGTAAATGTATCAATCGGATCAATTTCAAGTTGAGTGTTGTGCTTGTAGAGTAGTTATGTCTTTAGAGACAAGCAAATATCACCTTTTCTTTTCAAATGTAAATATCAGTTCTATGCATCAGTTTCTACTCAGCACAGTGGAGGGACCTGTGTGTGGGAGACGTTCTGCGAATCCACAAAGACCAAGTCATCCCTGTAAGATGCTTAATTTATAAAGACAACAAAGACAACAACGTGTCTGATCAATTAATTGTTATTTTGTCTTACTCTGTTCTGTTTTCTTTCTTTCCTCACAGGCAGACCTTCTCCTCCTGTACAGTTCAGAGCCTCACAGTTTGTGTTATGTGGAGACGGCAGACATCGACGGGTAAGCATCACAGTCAGCTGTATCAATCTGCTCACTCTGATTAATGCCTCATTCTGCTGAAAACTGTTTGACAATTCCTTCATTGATTCATCTTATAATAACTATAAGTTACGTATATAATTATATTAACTTCATAGTAGTGGTGGTGGTGCGTTTTTATGCTATATACAATAAAACTGATAAAAAGGGTTATACAATAAAACTAAATACAGTTTTAATTTTATTTGCAATTTCAAATTTCACACAATTAAAATACATCATAGTTCAAAATAATTGCAGAAATAATTAATATGTTTTAAGAATTGATTTCTTTGGGGATACTGATGTTAGCTGCCTGAGTTCTTGGGTCTCAATGCAAAACATGGGTAAAAGCTGCACCATACATTTTGAGACACATAATAGTGATCAGTGTAATCCCTAAAGGAACAAATGTGATCAGTGAAAGAATGGTGTTAGTTTGAGCATGTGATTTTTTCATTTTGCTGAAACGGTCAGAGATGTTAAAGAGTGATTTGGTTTGGTGCACGGTCAACACTGTTATATGAGCCTTCATTTTGGATGGTTAAACTTGATGGAAAACTCCTCATTTTGCTACTTAAACAATAAATTAAGAATACAAGACTCTTAATGTGATTATTAACTTGCCTGACTTTTCAGTACTGTATCTGATTTGTAGGTCAACTCTTCAGTGTGGACCGGTTGATTGAATTGAAAGTTATTTCTTTCGTACGCAGTGAGACCAACCTCAAGTACCGGCAGGCGGTCGGTGCCACACATTCTGAGCTGACCTCTCACCCCAGGGAGGAGACCCTTGCTGCATTCGATGGTGGTGTTTTCTATCAAGAATGCAGGTTCCACATATGCACATTTTAAAGTAGAATAGAAATGGAAGAAATAACCTCTGATTTCACAGGTGTTGTGCTGTGTGAGGAGCCCAACAGTCGCCTGTACACCTTCAGAGGAGAGCTGCACTGGCGGGGAGAGTGTCATCTGCTGGACAGCCAGCACATCCTCCTGAGGGGAACAGTCCTACGCAACACAGAGTTCGCTTACGGCCTGGCCATATACACTGGTACATCCAGAGTCATTTATTCTGTGTAATCAAATCAATTCATCTTTGAGTCCAAGTTACAACTGATCTAAATTCCCTACAAAGCAGACTTGATATTTCATTTACAAGAGGCCAAAAACATGTCTTTTGGGGCCACTTTGACCTCTTTCAACCCAAATCTAATCAGTTAATCTGTGAGTCTTCATGAACATTTGTGCAAGATTTGAAAGTATTCTCTTAGGGCGTGGTAAAGATAGTTCATGAGGCAAAACATGTTGTTGTGAGGTCCCAGTTGACCTTTGACCATCAAATTCTAATCAGGTCATCCTTGAGTCTGAGTGAATGTTTGTGCCATAATTCCGTGGGTGTTCCTAAAATATCATGTTCAAAACAACATGAGGTCACTGTGAACTTGACTTTTGACCACTAAAATGTAATCAGTTCATCTTTGAGTCCAATTGAACATTTTTACCAAATTTGAAGAAATTCCCTCAAGGCGTTCTTGAGCTATCGTGTTCAGGTCAGTGTGACCTTAACCTCTGGCTCTCAACCACCAAAATCAAATGAGTTTTTCTCTGAGTCCAAGTGAAGGTCTGAACCAAATTTGACGAAATTCCCTCTAGACTTTCTTGAGATGATGTTCACAAGAATTGGACGAACTGACCTACAACCCAAAAACAAAATTCCACCAACCACTGATAAATGCCCAATGCTTCACAGACGTGTGTATTAAAAGAAATAAAATGCCACCCTCATTTCACCTCCTACTGTGGCTTCCAATCCCTTCAATGACACATTTTATTATGTGGAATACATTATACTGCTAATTATGGACAGTACTTCACTCTTGCAGGATGGGCCCTGCTAACATCTGGCTGATTACAGACACCTCCTCTCCTTTAAGTGATCATTGATCGGATATTACTGAACCAGGCGTAGGTGTCACTGCTGTGACCCTTTCAGTTCTGGTGAAGCAGATCAATAGATCAAATTCTTCCAGAGATGGGTTTTATACCATTCATAGGAGAATGTCTGACCCCAGTTTAGCCTGATTATAACTCTTCACCTTCCTCACACACACACACACACACACACACACACACACACACACACACACACACACACACAGACACGACACTTGACTTAGCTTACTTTAAATGAAGCTTGATCTAGGTTGACATGTTATCATCAGTTTTCAGTCCTTGAACACTTTGACGATGTGACACATTCTCAGTTTTGTCATTTTCACACGTTCAGCTCATTTTCTTTCAGCAGCCTACGAGAGACTGAGACAACACCACTGGAAAACCTCATGTTATACTTTATTGATCCCCGCGAGGGAGAATCTTTCTTTCCTCTGACCTCTCAGCAGCGGGGTCACACACCCCCAGAGCTGATAGGGATTCAGCATCCTGCTCAAGGGCACATCAGCAGATGCTCGCTGACACTGGAACTCGAACTCTCGCCCTCTGGCTGCAGGATGGCCTCCTCACATCTAATAGCAATCTTCTTCTGCATCAGGCGCGGACACCAAGATCCTGAGGAACTGCGGGAAACTGAGAGTGAAGACAACGCAAACTGAGAAAGTTTTCAACTTCGTGGTGATCGGGGTGAGTGAGTGAAAAAGGAGAGGGATGACGATTGTGAAGCGCTGCAGTGTACTGTTCATATACAATGTTTGTCTTTATTCTGGGTTTACAGATAGTCGTCACTGTGCTGCTGACAGCTCTGCTTCTCGCCATCGGCAGCGGTGTGTTTTCCATTCAGGTCATGAGCCACACAAATGTTCTGTCTGTTCTGGTGGCTAACGGCAATCCAGTCTACACCGGCTTCCTCACCTACTGGAGCTACATCATCCTGCTCAGCCCAGCTATGCCCATAGCTCTCTACATCTCGTTAGTTACATCTGCCATACTGCACAATCTTATACGCACACTAGGGGTGGGGATTGCAGTGCAACTTCTGATACACAATACATTACGATGCGATAATTATTCCGATATCACAATACAGCCAGTCTGTGATAATTGACATATTGCAAGACAGTCATCACATCAATCACACAAACGTAATGTTACTTGGCAATGTCCAACTGTGCCATCATTCCATTGTAAAATAAACATAAACTGGCAAAACACACAAAAATATAATATATAAGAATAATAAGTAAAGACAATCGTGGGTGATTATACATTGCTGTATCGATATTTTGTCCTACCCCAACTGCACGCACTTGTTTGCGTGTTCACTGCCTTGTCTTCCATGCCCATGTGTCCACAGGTTTGAGCTGATCCACACGGTCCACAGCCTGTTTATTGGCTGGGACATAGAGATGTATTGGCAGCAGGCGGACAGACAGGCCCAGGCCAGGAACACCTCGCTGAACGAGGAGCTCGGCCAAGTGGGATACCTGCTGAGCGACAAAACCGGGACACTAACTCAGAACCGTCTGCTCTTCAGACAGTGCTGCATAGCTGGGGAGATCTACGGTAACAAAATAGTCATTATATTTCACAATTATATACAGAAGTTAATTTTTTTATATGAAATTTCCAGCCCATAGCCAGCTCAAAACAAAGTGCCTGACCTCACAGTTAACAGGCAGGCAGAGATTTCTTTTTTTTTGTTCTCCACGTCCCCCAGCTCTTTTATTACATCTGCCATGAGCTCATGTTTACATTGCTGTTTGTCTGTCTGTTTGCAGGGTTACGCAAAAACTACTAAACAGATTTTATTGAAACTAGGTGGAAGAAAGAGAAGGGTCTCTTTCTTATCCTTGGCAGAGCTATATCTGAGTGCCCTTCTAGATTTACACAAGAATATAGTTTCAACAGGATGTACAACAAGTAAAGAATGAAACATGCACTCAAAATGCCTCGTAAAAAGATTTTTAGCAACTTTATGTGTAATGTTAATGATAATTACTATGTCAAGAAATAGCCATGGTTGACTATAAAGTTGAGACAGATAACAAGACTTCATTCTTTTTAGCACGCTTCAAGATCAAGATCTCTGTGTTATTTCATGACAAATTCACAATAGAGAAAAAAAATATTATGACCCCTTAATATAATCTGTTCCATATTTGCCCACTACCCACCCTTCCACTGAGTTTTGAAGAAAATGTGTTCAGTAGATTTTGCATAATCCTGCAAGCAAATAAATATACAACAATTAAAAGATAACCACCTTGGCCAAGGTAAACCCCCTCAAATTAGAAACCCTGTAACAGTTATTATAACATTTATTTCTATTTGTTATTCATTTTATATTTCACAGACAGTATATATCCATAACAACATTGTGGATATGCCAGTAAGCCAAGATGCAAATCATTATTGATAAGAAAATAGAGATATATTATAATATAACAGTTATTATACCTGCTCAATTCAATAGAAGTTTTTAGGTAGGTATTTTTTCTTTATAATTCCTTAATACTGTAGATTGAAACTCTGATAGGGAGAAAAAGTGACAGAGGCTGAACACGTCTCCATTGTTAAATAAAAGAGAAGTGCTTTACTGTGATTAAAACAAAAGTTAAAAAGCTCTAACTAATGTGTCCTTTATAAAAACAACATGAGTGTATGTGAGACGCTCAGATATTTGTTCACTCAAGTGTTTGTTTGGCACCTGATTGTGTCTAATCTGTCTCCAAGAATATGTGAAGTTAAAACATTTTATCCTGTTGTACAAACAAAGGGATATTCTTCCTGGAGTATTAGCATATACGTATATAAGTATATGAAGCATATACTTTGATAATGAGCAGAGTTTCCTCACCGGCTGACAGTGGAACAAAGATCCCTCTGGGGTTGCGGCCTGACCCAAACCACAGAGAGAGACAACAGGAGACACTTAACATGCTCAGATTCAACAGCTACGAGTCTGTCTGCTAAATATTTAACAGCCGCTCTGCCCGCAGACGAACAACTGTAACTGAAACCATGTGGGAATCACATCAACCATATGTCGTATGTCTGAACCATTTCCTGCTTTAGACCCCCTGTCTGTCTGTCTGTCTGTCTGTATTTTCTTTGCATCCATTTTAAATAATTCCTTATGTTCACAGGTGATGCATCACTCAGAGCAGAGGATGTGGAGGTACAATATTATTCCTCTCAAATTTGCATCTTGCTTGATCTAATCTTCCCTCAGATTTTGGATTTCTTTGCTTATATGCCTGTTGTCACTCTTTTGCAGCCCATGGACTTGAGCTGGAACCCGTTCTCGTGTGGTGGTCTGTACATGTCCGCTCCTAGCCTGGTGGTGAAGCTCAGAGGAGAGCAGTGTCCGCTCAGCAGACAGTTCCTCACTGCACTGTGTCTGTGTCACACTGTCATGGCAGAGTGGAAGGAAGGTGAGTTTGTTAGTAATCTCGTTAACAAATGTAAACATCCACTGTTGCCACATTGCATGCATTTAACGAACACTGATATTTTTTCCCAAATGCAAACAAAAACATAGCATCCTCTGTGGAGGTAACTGAGTTGTTGTCCTCATTTGATAAAATAGTCAAGCCGACCCCACAGGTCTGATATTTCATGAAATCTCCTTGTGTGACTCTTGTTTCCATTGTGTTCTTGTATTATACTGACTGGTCTGATAGTAGTGTTATAGTCAAAATACTGTATATCACCATCTGTAATCTTAGACACCACTTGGTCCAGTTTCAACAAAATTTGAAAGGAGACTACATTTTGTCAGAATTATGTTTTTAACACTAAGCTTCTGGCCTGAATCCAATGCACGTCTAAAGTTACTGACAGACACAATGGATCATTCCTGCAGGACAAAGTGTTCACTTCCATCTTGTGTCCTGACTAATTTCCTGCAGAGTCTCCGGTTTACCAGTCTGCATCTCCGGACGAGGAGACTCTTGTCGGTGCAGCCAGGGAGCTGGGCTGGGTCTTTCTCTCTCGGACCAGAGACTTCATAAAAGTCTCTGAGCTCGGGGTCTCTCGACAGTATCAGCTGCTGGCGCTGTTGGACTTCACCAGCCAAAGGAGACGTATGTCTGTACTGGGTGAGGGTTGCCCTCTAAACACAGACCAACAAAATCTCCTCAACTGTCCAATGTTTTGTATTATACTTGCACTAACTTCTACTTTGTCATTTTCTTTTCTGAATAAATCAATCCATACTGGTTTTGTGTTGTTTTCCAGTTCGGGAGCCAGAGGGTGGGTTAAAGCTGTACTGTAAAGGGGCGGACATTGTGATCTTGGAGAGATTGCAGAAGGACTCGCCGTATCAAGAACGGACAGAAAGAGCGCTTGAGGTGAACTGGAGTTGCTTCTGAACCAATAGTGTGGGCTGCACAGTACACCTACTGAGCCTACTATTTATATGGCACAGTGTCAGGGTATATTTTTGGTCCACATTTCAGTGTTAAGCAGTTCAACATTACAGTTCTTGTAAAACTAAAGTCTTGTTGATGGCTGTGCGCTGCCCTTTGGCCTGGTCAAGACATAGCCCTGAACACAGTAGTTTTTTTTCATTTTTACAGTCTTTCTTTAAAGGTTTAGCAAACAAGATAAAGTGTGTCCATCTTTAACTTTAACTTGAACGGTGCTGGTAGAAGCAGGATTGTTGTTATCTTTGAACTAAGCTCATTCCCCTATTTCTGTTCTTTGAGCTAAGCTAAGTGGCTGCTGGCAGTAGCTGGACATTCAGGCTTTCTGCAGGTTTCAACAAGTTAATTTCAAGACTTGACAAGTGCAACAGTTATGAAGGAATATCAGAGTCCCAGAGTTACTTACAGTTCATTATAAGTGAAAGAAGGTGAAGCAGCTGGGTAGATAATAACCCTTGTAACACCACATTATCTCACTACAGACAGAGACAGTAGGTGACTATTGTCTTTGTCACCAATTCTATTACAGTGAGTTTGTATCAGTTCCAAGTTGGTCTTGTTCATGGTTTAACTGACCTTATCAGTTAACTAAACACTGAACATTAACATAATTAAGACCAACTTAAACGTACTTAAGAATTAGAGCATATTATTTTTACATATTTCTGACTTTTTAAGGCACCAAAATGTTTTTTATCAAATTAATTTAAAACATTTTAAGGATAGGTGTATATAGAGTCTTAAAAAGTTTAGTATTCAATTATTGGCATTTAAGGCATAGATTAGAATATTATGTACTAGGTCTTAAATATGTCTTATTGAATATCAATATAATTTTTATGCCTACTCTCATTGTACATTGAATACTCTGTGGGTTTTAGTTATTTCTCAATGATATAAATATTAGCACGCTGTAATAAAACTACAAATTAGACCAATGAACTGATGCAATAAACAGAATTTATCACAGTACACTCAGCTCGGCTGTGGCAAAGACTGGATACCCTTCTCTGTCTGTAGTTTTAGAGAAAACGTGATGTTTCAATGATTATTCTCTTCATCATCTTATTAATTCAATATTGTGTGCAATATTTCAATTGATTTCAATATCATGTCCAATATTTTTATATGAATATGTTTCATTTTCTGCCACTATAGCTAATAATTAGTTTCTCTCTCTTAATTTGATTTCTCTTAATTGTTTTTTCACAAAATACACTTTTACTTTTGTTTTTTCTTCACTTATATTTTAGACTTAATTCTTTATAGTTTTTTTTTACAGCATTCTATTCTTCTTCATATTGTTCTGTAATCTTGGAGTAAGCTGGCACAAGAGTTTCCTTTGGGATTGATAAAGTCTTATCTCATCTTATATGGCTACTTCACCTTATCTTCAATTATCGGGAAGAGTAAATTATAACAGTATTCTGATATTCCTTCATATCTGTTGTGACATGTTGATATTAAATGTCATTAGTTTTGGTCTTAAAAAGGCTAAGCACAGTTTTGAGGGAAGTCAAAGATCACTTAAAAGAAAATATTAGACCAGTTATCTCCACATTGGTCCTTCTGAGACTATAGTTGAGGCTTGCATGCATATGCTAAAATACATATCTTGTGTTTTATCTGTCGATACTTCACTTGTGCCTGGCAGATCACTCAGTAAATAATGTGCAGCCAATCAAATAACCAGTTAACGTATCTCCTGTCAGCTGTTTTCTCAGGCCTGTCTGAGGACATTGTGCGTTGCGGTTCGATCTGTTCCTGAGGCATCGTGGAAGCAATGGAGTAAAACTCTGGCCCAGTCTGCTGCCATGGCGACCTGTGACCGTGACGCTGTGCTGGAAAAGCTGTATGATGAGATGGAGCAGGATATGCAGGTGGGCTGCTCCTCCGTGTGATTTTATATGTTTATTGTCAATCCGCCGTTTAGCATGGTATAGCTTATTATTGACATGGCCCAACCCACACAGATAACCATTTTAAATCAAGCTTGTGTCTAAGGATTTCTGTCCTTTAATAATCCCTGAATCAAGTTTCTTAAAAAGAGAAAAAGTTGTTCTTAAAGAAAATAGAACCCTTGTTTCCTATGTGTTATTTCATTCTATTAGGTTTGTCATAAAACAAATGTTGACTTTCATGTTTTGTAGCTCCTGGGGGTGACAGCTATCGAGGACCGGCTCCAGGAGGGAGTCCCTGAGACAATTGCTCTACTCCAACAGGCTGGTCTCAAAGTATGGGTACTAACTGGGGACAAAAAAGGTATTATTGCATACTGGAGTAGGAGGAGGAGGAATGGCAGCTACATGAAAACTAAGTCTCACTGTGGTTTCTCTCTTTCCTGCAGAGACTGCTGTGAATATCGCATATTCTTGCAAACTACTAGATCCTGACACAAGATTACTGGAATGGCAGGAGCTGAGGTTAGCAATGATACAAATACAAATACACACACACACACACACACACACACACACAACCTCTCATTGATCTCTGTGTGTTTGCCCCTACAGGCAGATACTCCAGGCCCCAGACCCAGGGGTCAGTTTCCTCAAGGCCAGGCAGATGGAGCTGTGGGCTGTAGACACGAAAACGTCTGGGGCAAAGACTGCTGTGGTCCTCACTGGACCTGAGCTGGTAAACACCGAATAGATTAATTAATATGTTTGCAGATGGACGAATAGCTGTCATCAAATATAGTTTGTGACTGACTCCTGAAAAGTTGTGTTGTTACATCAGAGCATTGGAGAGGTTTGTTGCCCGTTTATCTAGATCCTCTCCAAAATTGAAACAAAATGCAGTGAAAACATAGGCTCCATGGTGAGGATAAATATGGCAACTCCTCTACATATTCGAAATGCAGACTTTTTTAATACAAATATTACCAGTAATGAGCTGATTGAGGATGCTTACCTTATAGGCAGAGTTTGAACAGAGACCAGAATGGGGGTCCACGTTCATGAGTGTGGCAGAACAGTGTCAGTCGGTGCTGTGCTGCCGTGTGACACCTGGACAGAAGGCTGACATCGTCAAGTTGGTCAGGAAACACACCAGCTCAGTCACCATGGCCATCGGGGACGGCGCCAATGACGTAAACATGATCAAGAGTAGGTCATGCAACATGGAACGATGACAGAGAACATGTGCACTGTGGACAAAACCTACTGATCAGTGTCACTTTTTTACTTTTTCACTTTTCTCTTCCTTTTTGTACCATCCACCAGCGGCTCATGTGGGTGTGGGACTGGCAGGAGTGGAGGGAGGTCAGGCAGTGCAGAGCGCAGACTTTGCTTTGTCCCAGTTCAGGTTCCTGCAGAGGCTGCTACTGATCCACGGGCGCTGGTCATACAGGCGCATTTCCCTCTTCCTGCGCTACTTCCTGTTCAAGACCTGTAGCTTTGCTTTTGTGCACATATGGTTTGGCTTCTTCAATGGCTTCAGTGCTCAGGTTAGTCACACATGGATTACATTCACGACATGAGCCTAACAGTCTATGAATTGAAATGATCATCTTGCTTTTATTGAACTGCCTGTTTCTTTCCTGTAGTCTCTGTATGAGACATGGTTCATCGCTTTCTACACAGTCTTCTACACAGTTTTCCCAGTTATGTGTCTGGCCTTCTTTGAACAGGTGAGAATGAGGTTGTTATCAGAAGATTACTCACATGAAGATTTCTGTCATGATCCTCCCGCTGCCTCTATGTGTCCGTCACAGGACGTGAGTGCAGAGAGCAGCCTGAAGTGGCCGGAGCTGTACAAGTCAGGACAGAGACAGGAGCTCTCCAGCCCTCTGATGCTGTCCTTGTCGCTCCTCCATGCCCTCTACTCTTCCCTCATTCTCTTCTTCATCCCGCTTGGAGTTTTCTACAACACAGCCTTTGACTACCAGACCATGTCGGTCACGGTCTCCATGGCAGCCACGTTCACTGCCACAATTGAGGTCAGGAACAAGTCATTTTTAAAGAAATTGCAGATGATAAAACATCATTGAACAAACAAGGAAAGTTACAATTTTAACAGTTTAAATGTAATTATGAATGCTGAGAAAAAAATCCCTATCTCACAATCTTAAAGAAAGTGAAGGGGAAACAAGCTTTTTTCCCTTTTTCCAGATCCACACTAAAACTTAATGGGTTCTTTCTTGGCCAACGTCCCATCCATAGATAAGATAGATAGATGGACGGATAAGATTGATAGAAGACAGAAGATAGACAGAAGACAGAAGATAGACATAAGATATATATAAGGTAGGAGATAGATAAATAGAGGATATATAGAAGATAATAGATGGATAGATAGATAGATTATAATAAAAATGTAATTCATTAACTGCTTAGGATACAGTTCAGCTAGGTTCATGTATTGTGTCATATATATCACCACAGCATGGTAGTGGTAACCTGAACAGTAAATACAAGGTGTACTTCAACTAATCAGAATGGACTCTGGGAAAAGACTTTCCTGTTTCTTTGGGAGGTTTAAATTGTGATAGGTGCTACATCTGATAATAAACTCAGGTCATTTTACAGTCAGGCAGCTTGCTCATTCTCAGACTGAATATTTAACCTTTTCCCCTTCTTGAGATTTGTTTTATCATGATCTGCTTAGTTGCTGTAGTGGTATTTCACATAGATTTAGTACCTATTAGCTAATGTATTCAGACCTGCCAAGACAACACTGTGTATTCATAGCGTTCACAAAGCACACATAGTAGTATACAACAGATCCAGAGACCATCCTTATTACTGCACACTCCCTTGTTCCTTATTTAAGATGTGAATCGAGAAAAAACCAATTGTTTCTCGCCAACTTCTCCTGTGACGTAAGTGTGTTGTACAGCGTAAACCCGGAAGTGTCAAACCCGTTGCCACGGCACCCATTGGCTAATGAACAGGTGTTCCCGGGGGAAGGTACCAAGTGGAAAAACATTGGAGGGGTGTTGAATTTGTTTTCACAACAAGCAATGCTTCCTTTTAAATGCGTTCTTGCTTAAAATGTTTTTTAACTTGTTTTGTAATTCATACGTGAATATTTGGATGTCGTGTGGACAAGGAGTTTATCTCCTGTTGGATAATTGATTATCAAATTCTAAACAATGTGTGTTAGTATGATCCAGGTCTTATAAAGGAAGAGGCTGGCGCTGTGCTCTGTTTGGTTGAATTTAGAAAGAAGGGAAGGACGGGTGGAGAAACCCGCGAGAGCTCCAGTTATTTCTTCTATTAATTATTTATTTGTTTGAAAGTATTATTTGTCGGTCTTTGCCAGGCCTGCTCTGTTGCTACATATACTGTATGTGAACAGGAATGTTACATAGATTTTCTCTCAGTTTTTGGGCCTTACCTCCTGCTCAACCCTACCCCATACAGGAAATTCAAATGTAAGATTATCTTTTATTGTTATAATTACAATAGACTGTGTATAAAGATGGACATTGTATCTCCAACTCTTCCAGAAATGATTCCAATGTTATCAGAAGACAAATACAGTTATTTAACTTGCAATTTGACATTTTCCTTTGGGCCATGTGCCATCTGCTAACATGGAGGAGGTAGTGTTTATGACTCGTACTGCAGTGAGTCAACAGGGGTTGATCAAGACACGTTGGCATTACTTTTCCGGAGCAGTCATGTTGTCCATCCTTACCTACAGTCTAATACAGTTGGGAGCTCTACAGAAAACTGTTATAAGTTTGTAGAAAGTTTCACCAGAACTGAAAAGTATTAAAAAGACCTTATTTAATCTAATTTAATGTTAAAAAATATTGTTCTATCAAACTGTTACTTTCTTCCTGATAGTCACTGTACAGATCCACATGTACCATGCTCTTGTAATTCCTGTTTTTCTTTGTCAGATTGTGCTGGTGACCAGATACTGGACAAAGATCAATATCGCAGCTGTGTTTGTCTCTGTGGTGCTGTACTTCATTTGTACCAGGATCACCCAGAGCACCCGCCTGTTTGAGAGATCACCCAGCGACTATTATTTTCTTGGTACACGTCTCTTCTTATCGCAGCCCTGCTCTTCATTCATATCTGAGTCATGTCTCTCCTTGCTGTGGCCGTTTTAAAATCTCATTACTGCTGCAAGTGCTGGTTTTGATTCGAATAGAGACGATCCAATATTTGAAGAACATAGATAAAAACTTAGGGCACAGCATGAAATGTTGTTTTCAATGATCGTTTAATGTGGTTTTCCTTTGATCTGATGAAATGAGTGATCTGACATTATGTCTGTGAAAAGGTTTAATTTGCTCTGCATGTGATTTTCATCAGGCACGTCTGAAAAGGCCTTCATCGATCCGGTTGTGTGGCTCACGGCTTTGCTTACAGCCTGGACATCTGTTTTGCCCTCGTTTACCGCTCATGCTCTCAATGTCATCCTTGTGGCCCAAGACAAACATAAGGTGAGAGATCGGCATGGGAAAAAAACACAAATGAGAAAAGTAGTGTATATGCAAATAAAAATATTAATCTGTGGGGCAAATAAGCACGTAACAGGCTATTTATCTAAGACTATTTTCAAACAATTAAAGGCTTTTACATTTCTGTCTGGTCACCTCACTCAGCTGTTCTCATTGGTTACATTATATTTTCAGTATTTTTCTCAATGATTTGAGTTCTTTCTGACAGAAATCCATGCCTGCTGCTGTATCTTGTTATTGACATGTGTGTGAATATTCAAATACAAATATTCAAATATTAAATATCACAATATCCAAAGCAAACTAATTTTAAAACAGCAATCATGGGGCAGCACAGATGCAAATCATACACAAATTTTGCCCAAAGATGGAGCCACTCTGGGATAGAGTGAATATTATGCTGAAGGGGAGATAAAGGACATCAGCACTGTTAAACTATTGACAATGTGATTTATAGGGTAAAGATCCTGACAAATATGAATTACATTACAACTGAAACATGAAAACCCTCCCTTTCACTTTGTTTTTTAGTCATCGTTTCATATATTTATATAAAGGCAAGATTGACCTGGTGGGAAAAAAAAGAACACGGATGATGCATGTTAATGTCCTCCCATTGTACAAAAATGAAGCCAAAATATCCTGGACACTTGTGCTGCCATCTTGTGCTTTTGATGTCTTTTGGAGTCTAAGTAGCTGTGTTTGTATTGAGGGGCTGTAGCAGTAACTCAATAGAGTTACTGATGATACAAGTGATCAACCAATCGCGTCTGTCTAAGCTGTCAATCATGATGTTTCATCCTGTTTTTATAACATTAAATAACAAATTCAAACCAGGAAAATATAACACTTGAATACTTTTTAGTTGTGGGAAATTTATTTGACGCATACTCCAAACGATCTATGCAGCCACTGCAGCCAGTCACCAGGGGGCAATCCATATGATTTGGCTTTACTTTTAAGGAACTGTCATGTTGTCCATCTTTATATACAGTCTGTGCTCATTATGATGTCATGTTTCGGATGTTGATTCCTATGCACCAAGTTGTTCAGGCTCTATTTTGTGATGTATGAACTTTATAATGGCTTCACTAATGTCACTCTCACCTGTCTGTGGTGTAGGTCCACATTGTGTCCCCCCAGCGGGTGGAGCTGAAGACAAAGTTCAGGAGCGGAACGTCCCTCCGCCGCTCCTCTTACGCCCTCTCTCAGGGAGCCGGGCCTGGACGCCTCATCACCTCCGGGACCTGCATCCGCAGCACAGCACCGCCGGTGGATGAGAAGGTGACTGCCAGTAATAACCCCCCCTACTCACAAGGCCAAACTCACACAAAGGACAATAATAACACTTCAATGGCACATGATTAACTTTTCATTGGGAAAATATGTGTCTTTATAGATTGTTTCTGGAACAGATAATTTAAGATGTTTTGTATCTTCCGTACTTCTTCTGTTTTTGTGGCCAATTCTTAATAGAGCCAGCTATATTTTGTACATCTACTACTATCCAATAAAGTAAATAATATAAACAAAATACATTACATACCACAAATCTAGTTTATTACCTTTACATATAGACAGTATGTACAGACACTTCTGTATGAATATCTTCCTCATTGATGTATAAGGCTATTGTTTTAAAAATCAAATTTCCATCTGGGGTCACAGGGGATTCCTTTATTAAAGATCGAAGTCAACACAATAAACTCACTGCACAGCTTTGTTTTACAATTGTTTTATTTGTTAATTTATTTCAAAACACGCAATTTTTACCCATATTATCCTTTTAAGTTTTTATTTTTCTGTAACAGTTATTACTCAGATTTTTTTCCTTCTCAAAAAGTCTCAGCTAGTGTGAAACTAAAAGTCCTGCACAGGCTCTCCGGCTTCTGCAGTGGGAGGAGGGAAAAGAGGCTCTCTGACCTGACGTCGTGAGTGGGCTTATCCCTCATTTCTGCGTGGGCGGTGGTGTGTGTGTGGGTGAGAATGTATGTCATGTTACATGTGTGTTTAAGTGCAATAGGCGGAATGTCCACAGGGCCGTTAAAAATCACTGGACCCGTAGAGCAGCAGCCCAGAGAGCTGAACATTGTCTTCTAGGTTTGGTAGCCAGATTGTCATACCTCTGATTTCATCTTTGGTTTCAGCAAACACTCTCAAAAGGCAGACTCACCCTCTCCAGCATGTGCCTGTGTCTGTTTGTGTGTGTCTGTCTGTCTGTCCGAGTGCAATATAAGCCACCATCTCCAGACGACTTTGTAAACTTAAGCAATTACAATGTTAGCGTCTTTGCATTGATTGTGGCCCTTCCTTGGCTCTAGGGACAAAGACGGTCAAACATTGTAGAGCGATGGAGCCATGAGCGGGGGAGGAGCAGCTTGCAAACGTCAACATGGACTCCATTTTGATGTTAGTGGCAGTTTGGGGCATTCGTGTAAAGCTGTACGTGTGTAGTGGAACATGGGGGGGGGGGGGCTGCTGTAGTGCACTTCTTCCCCCCCAGTCACTCTCTATTGTACCCTGAGTGACTGGAGGTTTATCTGCCAGATCAGGGCTCATGGTAAAGGGAGGTGATGGTGGGGGGAGCGGGTGGGGCAAGGGTCTATGGACCATGAGGTTGATGTATGAGTGTCTATATGTTGAGGGGAGGTGTCAGGGGGTTGAGGGGTTGTACACTCTGACCCAGCAGCAACGATTAAGATTGGGGGGGTCAGGTGTTTGCATAGTTCTCTGTGCAAAAGCCACCAACCGGAGCCATTTTTTTTATTCCTCGCGGCTGGTTACATCATCAGTAGATTTAGCAGGAAATCATGGCGGGTTGATGAAAAATGTGGTCTTTGCACCACACGTTTTTTTTGTGTGGGTGTTTTTTTTGCAATCCTGCGTTGCACTACATGGTGGCAGGAGGGGTGAAAAGTGAGAGAATGGGGTGAGGAAGGAGTGAGTTAAAAATGTCTGATGAGTTTTCATGTTGGAGTGTAGTCCGATTTGGACGAGATGGAGTGACAAATGGACATGTCGGAAAGGGAGAAGAAGGGGTGGTGAGGGGCAGTCATTCGGCAGTCAGGCACTACAGCTCGTCACGGTTCAGACAGCCTCTTTTCCCTTGATTTTTTTTTGTGTGTTCTTCCGTCCTCCCCATCCTCCTCCCCACTGGCCTGCCCTCTCTCTACCTTTTTTCTTGTTTTGAAACTGATTGTCTTCTACCATCACAAAGACACTTGGTTCTGATTGATTAACAGGTAACAGAAGAGGGAGAGCACAGTGTGACTGGGGGTCGTCTACATCAGCCCCACCGGCGACCCGTTTCCACCCCGCGTGCGAAATGACACTCACACACACATATGCTGTTTGACAGTAAATGCTGACGACATTTCTGCATGGCGGGACGATCGGTTGCCGAGTGGCACTGTGGTCGGTTGGTCGGTCAGTCAGTAAGAAATGGTTTCAAATTTTTCGCATGACAAATATTGCAACCCATGGTAAAGGAGCATTAAAAACAAAAGAAAACACTTGTCTTCCACATAGGTACAAATGAACACACATACACAGATTGAAGAAAAGCATGTAGACAGACACACGGGTATATTCAAGGCCGCTCGGGTCTGTGTGTGTCCCTCTGATTAACTCCAAGTAAACAGCCTGTCTTTGGAAAAGCAAGACACACAGTTCAGGACCCGAGTGAGGACCTCAAGCTGAGGAATGAAGATTGGATGCTATTGATTGGGAGGAGAGGAGTTTGACCTCCCCCAGCACACACTGCCCCCTACTGTCTGGATTTATATACATCAAAGAAACATGGGGGGAAAAGGGGAAGGGTTGCAACAACACATGCACACAACCAGTGAATCCAACAGTGACGGAAAAAATCTAAAAACAAGGACCCCTCCAACGCCTAAAACCCGAATCCTCCCACCCCTGTTTTTTTGTTTTTGTTTCGATAACCAAAATATCCCCCACCCTTTCTCCACCCACTCCCGTGTCTTTCCATCCTTTTCCTCCTCCCCACAAAAATCACAGGTCATTCCTGTTGGTTTCTATACAGTTATACAATATCCATGCACAAAAGAAAGAAAAGCGCACCTTCTTTTCAACAGGAGGTGCTGGTCTTTAATATTCTAAGAACATCAGGAGCACTTGAACACACCCAGGAACCTTCAAAAGTAACTGTGAAATAGTTTTTTTTTTCAGAGAAAAGACAACTTAAAGGCAGAATAAAGCTAACGATGAGTAAAAGGTCATCCCTCCTTTGGTTTAACATCAAATTTTTGGTTTAAAATTCGGCCGAAATCATATTTTTTCTCATTAATTTTCCTTTTTTTTCTATTTTTCCCTTTAAATGTACCTGCCTATGAAAGAGCTTTTGAACTAAACTAAAGTGAGTAGCTCTCATCCCTCTCTCTCTACTCTAGCCTTCTCTTCTGTCTCTTTTCTCATGTAACCCCTCCACAGAAACATTCACAATGTCTTTTTTCCTTTATGAAAAAACAGTAAGTACATGCCGTAGCAAAAACAAACGAAAGAGAAACGTACGAGAGAAAATGAGCGAACGAATAAAAAGGAATTTTTAACAGTATAAAGCTTCAAGTCACAAGTTCCAAAACTAACTATCATAGTATCATAGTTTCATAATCATCGTTTATCATTAGCAGTTATTATTTTTCAGTTTTAAATTACATAAAGTTTACATGAAAGGTTTTTGAGGTATTTCAGAATTAATTGTCAACACACGCCTACCGGGTCTTAGCACTAGCCAGGGGGAGCGGTCGACTGGACAGAAAGTGGAGGGAGGAGGGAGTTTGTGTCTATATAAACTGTCAGTGAGTCTTCCACACTTTTTCTAGTGCAGCCTCTGTGCTTGCACGCCGTGGAGCGAGAGAAAGAGATATTCAGTGGTATGGTTGGTTTTTTTTGTTGTTTTTTTTGTTTTTTACAACTACAGCCCTCTGAGCTCTTCAAGCCTCTGCCTTTTTACCCCCCCCTTTCTCTGTTACACAAAAATATCTCTGATGTGAGGGAGGCAAAGTGGCCGAGAGTAAAAGCGCACGGGGCAGAGTGAGGAAAAAGAAAAAAGAAAGTACACACAAAGGCTGTGAGCTCCTAGAAGATCAACGATACAGTAACAAAGACTCTGACAGATTCAGGAGTAAACATATAATTTTGTTTCAAATAAATAGTGTATAGAAAATGTTTTATAGACTTTCTACATGATAAAGTGCTTGTATTCTAGTGTATCAAGATGGAAAGTCAATATGGGAGAAAATGCTGACACAGCCCCCACTCTGTGTCCCTCTTGTTGTGCCCCCCACACACACCCAGCCTCCTTTCTGTCCATCCAATTATGGGTGCATTGTCTGTGTGTGAGTGCGTGTTTGTAAATGGGTGTGTAGCTTTATGCATGTGTTTGTGTATGTGTGTGTCCAGTGCAGTCCCACCCGTGGTTGAAGGGAAAAGGCACTCAACTCTGTCTGCAAGGCGGCCACCTCCTCCTATGTGGCACGATGCAGTCCGACTGCGCTGTTACTACTAACATGTATGTAGATGTGTGTGTATAATGTGTGCAAGTGTGTTTGTAATGGTGTAGGGGGAAAGATGGGATGAGGGGGGGGGGCTCTCTTAGTTATTTAGTTTTTGTATGTGTCCCCCTAGGCAGTTTGGGACCGGTAGGCTGCAGTATCTTTGGTATTAGTGGCGGTTTCACAAACCACTCAGCTTAGTGAGGTAGCCACATTGGTTCTCACTACAAACAAATGCCATTTTGTCAGCCTAAATACCTAGAGCTGAATCTAGCTATATGCTCACTGAACTGTATACCACAAACTTGATTTTAGCTCATCTTCCTTTGGCGTCTTTTAACCCACTGCTTACAGCAACGTGAAGTTAGTTGGTACGTCCCGACCAGCTCCTCTACAATGACCCATCTCTTATCTAATCTGCACCGCTAATCTGACTACATTGTTGGAAATGCTACAGTTGCATCTTTAGACCATACAGATAACTATTGAGTCCCGGGCTTTGACCCCCCGCGCACCCACCCTCCAATAAAACACATTGAATCAGCCAGGACATTTGGAGGTCATTGTTTCATCCCCCTCTTCCGTTTTCCCCCGTTCGTGGGGTTCATCTTAAAGGTGGCTGAGAGTACAGTTCTGACATGAATTGCCAGAAGAGGAGAAAGCGTCCCGTCATTTATTCTTCTCTTCAGCAGCTCCCTGTTTTTCTTTTTTTTTTTTTCTCTTTCTCACGGTAAATGTCTTCTCCGAGTCTATATTCACACAGAATGCAAAAAAATACGTCCTTCGTCGGCCTCGGTCCTTGCATCCCTCCTTTTCTTCCTTTTGAAAAGTCCTTCATTTTTTTGTTTTTGATTTATCAACAAGGTGCCTTACTTATGCACAACAGAGCACAATAGTAACAAGAAATAGAAACTTTGTGTCTATGGTACTAATTAAATACCCGCATCAATATAGAGAGGAAGAGAGGGAGAGAGAGAGAGAGAGGGGGGGGGGGGGGCAATGGGGTAAGAGGGGAGAGGAGGTAGAGAACCAAAGATAGAATGAATCATTTTTACTTCTGCTTCAAAATGTGTCCAGTGTATGTGTTGGAGACATTTTGTTTGTAACACATACTATGTGTGTGGTATCTTTGTCGTTTGAGGTTTGGTTATTGTATGCCTTAAAATCTGATTCTTTTTTTTCTTTCTTTTACTAAAAAAGTATATTTTAATTCAGTTAAAAGCTGATTGTTGGTTGGCTACGGCACACACCTCTCGTCATCCACGGGGCGCACTGTATAGCCGTGTGTGAACCCTAGTACCATATTCTCTGATTTGCATTAAGGCAGTAAAGCATTGGCACTAATTATTGTAGCATTTTGTCAGCAGAGTGTGGTGGTTACAGCGACTGACCGGGAGTAACCAGGAGATTTGGTTTCAATAGCTTTTTGTTGAGAGCCTCATTTTTTTGCAAACAGATGAGATTAAAAAAAGTGGAAGAATGAATAAATATGAAGCCTCCCAAATAAATAATGTAAATTAAACCTCCACTCAGTGAGCCTTTCTGTTACTGTTCCTGTTGTACTTCTCTATCCCCTCTTTGTGTAATATCTGTTTGTATTGTGTAGACGATTCTATACGATCTGGATTGGTTTAATAAATCCCTGCCTTTTTTGCTAAATCCTTGTGATTTCAGCGTCCGGTTTTAACCATCCCCCTCCTCCGGCTTCACCAGTGCTGGTCGGATGAGGAACAACAATAGGATAATGGTTAGCTATTGATCTGCCTTCAAAGAGCTGCGAGGGCCTGAATGTGTTGTGCCATGACTTCTCCTCAGCATCTAGTGGCTCGTCCCTCCCTCCCTCTCCTCCACTATGAACCCCCCTCGCTCTGCTGGACACAGGTGTCTGCTACCGGCAGCAGGGGGCACTGTTGCTCTGTTGCTCTGTTGCAGGACCTAGGGATGGAGAGGTGTGCTGCTGCTGCTGCTGCTGTAGTAGTTGTAGTTGTAGTGAGGTCTTTGTGTCCCCATCTCCACTGGGTTCCATGTGCTCCTCTTACATTCTGCTTTTTCATATGCAGCTGTAATGCAGTTGGCTGGAAGCCCGAGCGTGTTGTTGTCGTCGTCGCTGGGTTCTCAGTTATTGATCAGAGGAAGAGCTCCCAGCAGAACAAAAAAAGCGTGTCCCGACATCTCACCCGACTCTGCTGTTTGGTCAGAGAGACACAGACTCTCAGGCTCAGGCTGAGAGGAACGATGACACGTCTCCCCACAGGCCTCCAACATCTGTGCAAAAAAATATAGACCTGGGCCCGGAAGACCTGAGTATCTACTGCCGAGCATCTTGAGTTTCACCTTCAGGAGGGGTCAAGGCCCCGCTCTCTCTGTCTGCATCGATTCATTTTTCAATTCATTAGTTTGCTGTATGATCAGGCTGAGCTGCTCTCTGAAATGGCTGGCCATCAGGGAATACCTTTGGCCGAGGAATGAAGGAGACTACAGCAGGAGGAGAGGAGAGGGGGGAGGTAGAGGCGGAGAATTGGAAAGCCTTGTTTTTTTCATAGGCTGCGTTGTTTTCTTTATGACGGCCTTGTGTGTGCAGGATGGGGCTCGGATAATAAGGCTATGTGCTGTTCTGTTGTCAGATTTATTGCCGTTCTTTCGCCCTTGTTGCTTCCGTGTGCCGGCGTAGAGGGGATGTAAGGGAGAGTAAGAGAGGCAGACGTGAAGGAGGTGTTGGGAGAAGAAAAAAAATCAGAATCTGTGGCTACTTGGGTGGTGAAGCATAATTCAGATACCGTCCGACAAAAAAACATCAAATCTTTGGTGTCTCTTTACTTTGACAGATGCCATAAAAATGATTTTCTTTACAAAAGAAGACAGAATCAATGATTGTCCTTTTGTGAGAAATGCAGAGTGAACCTGACTTCACTGTTCACCTTCAGATTATGCTTGTTTCAGGTGAGAGCTTTAAATTCTGACTGACGAAAAAGATGATTGCATGGCACAAAGGATTTTCAGGCAGAGGACACATTCAGATGGTCCAGGCCAGGTGTGGGTTGTTATCGACAGGCTTCATAGCCAAATTTCCCATGATGCCTGTTGTTCCAACCTGTTCCCCCTGGCCCTCTGAAGGCCCTCTCCTCCTCTCAGGCCTTGGAGAAGGTGGTGGCGGATGGGCCTGGCTGCCCGGGGCTGGTGCCATGGTCGTCGTGCCAGCGGTCCACGCAGCGGCGGCGTGCATTCATGAAGAAGTTGCTGACGGTGCTGAGCTCCAGGCCAAGCTGCTGGGAGATGGTGATCTGCATTTCCTTGGATGGGCGCTTGTTCTCCTTGAAGATGGCGATGAGTGTGCGCCGCTGCAGGTCGGTGAAGACCAGGCGCTGCTTCTTTGGCGCCGTGTTGCGGTCCTTGTGTTGCTCCTGTTCTTTGCGCTTGCAGGCTTGGTGTGGATGGCAGCGGTGGGAGGGATGGGGATGAGAGTGGGAGGCAGAGAGAGGAAAGAGAACACAAAGCAAGGTAAATATACAAAAGTGATTATAATCTCGTGGCTAAATAACAAAGACAAGAGGTGGAGGGAATTAAGTCGCTAAATGTATCATTAGCCAATACTTAAAACATAAAACTTAGTTTATACATCAGCAGAGATTCTACAGCTCCATCTCTATTGCCATATTAAAGTTGATTTAAAGCTAATCCATGCCTCCTGCCCAGTGGGAATATTCCTTCCATCCTGCAGAGTGCAGACAGGGAGCCAGCCTGCGGTGAGAGAAAGATGGGGTGGGGTGGGTAGAGGGCGGTAGGGGGAGACTGGCTGTTGCCTGCTAGCTGGAGACACTGCTGTTTGATTCAATATTAATGCAGTTTGAGTCGCAATGGGGGACTGAGTGACTGTTGCACAAAAGTAAGCATTTTGTGAGTGTGTGTGGAAATGAGAGAGATAGAGGAGGGGCCGACTCAGGGAGAGAAAAGGTTGGAGAGAAAAGAACAGAGAAAGTGGAGGAGTAAGACAAAGTGTGTGCATGTGTGCGCGTGTGTGTAAGAGTATAAGAACCAAAGAGAAGAGCTGAGGAGAGGAGGGAGGGGCGGTGAGTGAAGGAGAATGAGAGAGAGAGAGATATTGACCGACTTTGCTGTAGGAATTGGGGGGGTTCTCTGTGGGGACTGAGGTCAGAATTCTCCCCCCCAGCAGGTCTACAGTCTGCTACTTCAAACAGAGCCCACTGGAGCCCCCTTCTATTGAACTCTGAGAGTGTATTTATAACCCACTCTACACTCCCACCCCCCCACCGCCCAAATACAAACACTCAAGAGGTGCATGCACCGGCTGCTATGAGCCCCCTTCCCATACGCAGAGCAATTTTCAAAAGAAAATGCAGCGAATATACTTTTTTTTTTTTTTTTTTACACGTTTGGGAGGGGGTTGGTGGTGGGGTTGCAAGCAGTGAACACAGAAATTAATAGTTAATAGACTGCTGTATTGTGGGTAAGTGTGCTGTAACTCAAAAGTATTTGTAGGAGACAGGTGGAGAGCAGCAGACATCAGGCGCAGGGTAAAAGGCAGAATCGGCGCCTAGAGATGGTGTATAGGAGGAGTTTTTGTGTGTGTGTGTGTGTGCAAGGTTAAGGCACCACCTCTGCAGCCACACGTTCCCCTGCTGGCTGGGGATCGAATCCTGCCAGAACAAGACTGTGTGTCCCTCTCAGCTTCCCTACTGTCTCAATAAAACGAGGGCAAATTGGAGAGAAAAAGGGAGAGAAAGATGCCATCCCTGTGGGGTCTCCACCTGCTGCCTTTAGTATTGTCTAATACTTTCATACTTGCCTTCAATAATGTCTCACTCCCACGCTGTGTGTGTGTGTCCTGATGCATGTAAGGACAGTTTTTTTCCCCTTCTCCGACTTTAATCGTGTGTGTGTGTTTATGTGTGTGTGCGCGCTTGGGGGGAGGTTGTGATTATGCTGAAGTGGCTGGAGCCAGGCAGTGGCGCTGTGTGTCTAATTACAGCGGAACAGAGCCCATTGATCAGCCATTGCAGTCCAATCTGTTTACTACAGATGTCTAACCTGCACACAGGCCCATCCATCATATTCATATTTCACATCAACACTGCAGCTGTATAAATATATATCACACAAGTGCATGTATATTAATATGCCACATACAGAATTGTCCGAATGCATGCTTGTATGTACAGTGTGTACAATCATCATACTTTGATTTATTAAAGGATTAAGGGTAGTCATGACGATGAGGAGTATAGGAAGAGGAGGAGGAAGATGATGTCATTTTATGGTTCGGTGGAATTATTCAGTGTCACAGTGAGTTAAGTCTCCGCAGGTCAGATGCTACAGGACGAACATTAAAGCTGCAAGAAGTCACATAAAGCCTTTGTGAGGGAATCGTTGACACTGGCGAGGGCCTTTAACGAAGTCGCTCCAAGTGTAATGACACGAGAGACACTTTTAAACCCTCAGAATCCATGTGTTCTGTTGGAGCTATAGCCACAAACCAAGGTAAATATCACGCAGTAATTCCACAAACGCTGGCAGGCCCTACTCATTCGATGGATTTAGCTGCAAATTGATTTATTTGTCGTTCATCAATATGACAACAGCGTCACTGAAAACACAACCAAGAACTGTTGATAACTCATTTTTATAGATGCAGTTAGTTTACACACCTCATGCTCACATCATGTGTGACTGATGGACGTTAAACCATTGAGCAAAGCTTGTATGAAAATGACACATATCTGACTTGTATATATCTCTTTACGTATATAGCATTGTTGTTGTGATGAGTTGTTTTGATCAAATCACCGCATAAAAACCAGATTCTAAATATTATTGTCTTACATGTAATATAATGCAGGGGCAAATATGTAATTGTATTATTGGAAAAAAAAGTGTAACTATGTTTTCCACTCTTCACTGCCAATGTCAAGATTGAATTAATCAGTTAACTGAAAATTGAACCATCATCGGGTCATAATGTTCTAAAATTAATATGATTTAAATTATTTTAATGGGGTAAAACTAACTCACTGTAGTTAACACCATCAACTAAAGTGACTTAAACTGGCCACCCTAAAAAAATAGAACATCTGTATCCAAGACATCCAGTTGAACAGATGATATGATTTAAAGGAATCATGAGATGGATGTGAATTTACTGAACAGTAAAAAATCAAACTGGAGAACACAACATGGGCTTAAATGTGTATATTGTTGTTGATCACTGCTATATATTGCACTGTGTGTACATTTAGATGCATTTTTGATGGATGAAGGTATTTGTTGTTTTTTTATACTGCAGACACTGTGATGTCTTAACTGACTAACTCAGAGAGATTGTTTTAGTCTGACATTAGAGAGCTTATGTTAGCGCACATGTCATTAGAAATGTTCAGGTGCAAGGATGCATATATAATCTATTTCTGGATCAGCTCTATGGTGATCATAGAGAAGCCACTCAGTGAAGACATGAAGAAGAGGATTCGTTTCCCAGCAGGACAATGATCCTGAACATGCACTGAAGCTCCACCAGGCCTGTTTGAAGTCTGAGAATGAGCAGCAGGTACAGTCCTCACATGCATGACGTGTCTTTCCCTCCACTGCTCATTACTGAACAAATCGAAAATGTGGGACACTCAAAGAGAGATGTCTTATCCCAAAATCCAGACAGTGAACTGTAATTCTTTTTCTTTTAAAATAATATATATTGGGCCCTGCTTTTATGACACATTCCTTTGTGTTTCAGGCTAGATTACTTCACTCAAAATTATCAAAATGGTTGTGGTTATATAGGCTATAATGATAATCTTGGATTTCAATATTTGAGTCTAATTGTCTGTATTTTCTGCAGCTATACTGAACACCCCACTTCCCTCCATTGTGTGCTTTCCTGTCTTCTGTGGTTCACCCAGATGTGTGACCTAACACAAGTATGTAGAAAAAACACTCAAGCACCCACAACATCTGCTGTAATACCATGAAATTCAGTATTTTGCAGAAATTGCTGCAGTTTTTTAAACCTTGTAATTAATGCACGTTTTAATTAGCTTTTTGTTATTTTGCCTATTTTGTCTTCTGTCTTCAAAATAGACATTATTTTACTTTTCATGGGACTGCAGTGGGGGAAATTCATGTGAAATTATTTCTTGATCAGTGGTTTAAATTACAAATTCATGATTTTATTCCCTTGCAATTTAGGGTTAAAGTCATCAATTATTTGTTGGTCAGTGGTTTAAATAACACATTCATGATTTTATTCCCTTGGAAATTAGGATTAAAGTCACGAAAATCTGAAAACATAGATCCATAAATGTGTTTATGCAATAAGGACATAAAAAACGTAGCCAGGGGACGTGTTGGTTCTGTCTCAATGTCCCTGCACAACAATGTCCCAGCTTCTCTGTCCACATCTCTCCGCCGGCGAGTCACGTCCTGCCCACCTCGATCGACTAACTTGCTTTGTGCCGCTTCGATCGGCAGGTGTCGCTCTCGCCGTGGCCCCGGCTGCACAGGGGGCGCTGCCTTTGCTACAGGCGCTGGATTTAGTAATCAATATCGATCGATCGGTGAGGAAGGGGGCCCTGATTACTGAACCAAGCTCGGCGTAGAAAAGGAAAAAAATCGATCATTGCAGCTTTTAGAGCTACAGTAGGCACCGAGCAGAGAGACGGACATAAAGTCGTGCACAGGAGCAGAAATCCGGTTTTTTTTTTGGTGTTGGGAGTTGTTTTGTGAGGCGCACGCACCCTGCGGACACATGCACGGACACAGAGAGATGTGACTTCTATCGCTGGATGTATGCGAACAGGAGCTGACCTACTTTGAATGGATCCTCACACAGAGACCGATAAACAAAGACATGTGCGTCCTGCGGTTTATTTTGGCATATTTGACGTAGATGCAGCTTTGACTCCAGAGCTGCAGGATCCACGTCTGACTATTCTCAACTATTATTATTATAATTATTACTTATCGTTATATTGTAGTATTATTTATTATTTCCCATTCAATTTCCCATTGTTTATCACTTCCCTGATCGGACTCTGCTCATGCACCTGTACCAGAGCTGCAAGATCCAGATCTAACAATACTCAATTATTCTAAATATTATTATTTATGTATTGTTATATTGTAATATCATTTGTGATATTATTTCCTATAAATAATGCAGATCGTGTTATTGAATATAATATCCCTGATTGGACTAGCACCTTTTTCTTCCATCAAATTCCTCAATGAGTGATTTTTTTCCCCCTCTCCCACTTCTCCTTTATGCTCGGCTGAAAACTCCATAACTTGGGCCTATTTCCTTTCCCCGCTGATGACATTAATATTCTTTGCTTCACGACAAACCAAGCGAGGTTAAGAGAAAGGCCCTGGGTGTTCAATATCGATCGATAGATTCGTGAATAATTCGTGTGTGAA